ACATTCATGTTGCCCGTTCGCACAAGTTTCGCGTTCGCGAAGCCCGTTTGTTTTTCAGTCGCGCGGAGAGGCGGCGATTTTACGAGCTACGTCCTGTTGCTGTAACGTGCTAATTCCCAACCTTAATCTCTAATGATGTGTACGTGTAATTTGCATTGCGTGAGAATTGCTCGTTGCATTGGTGGAAGAGAAAACTCGTTTTGCACCCTTTCGTCTCGCTTGTTCTTTTTTACACGTAGCTCTTCCCGCCGATTGTCTCGAGACTCGTTAGAAAATGCGCTGGCACATGAATATTAGGCATCCCCCTCCTTCCCGATTGCGTTTTATTCCGCACCGAAACAAATTCCGAAGCTTTCTGCTTAATTACGCCTCATTAAATTCTATCCTCCTCCGCATCGCCAAGTTTCCTCGACTGAAACGCCGAGGACACTTTGTGTAAATGTAACGGCTGCGTCGGAGGGAAAATCTCGGCGCTCGATATCGCCGTGTTAAAGGTGACTGCGCATTCGCAACCGGCGCTAAGTTGAGATTCGTGTCTGCGACGGCGAAAGGTAAGTGGTATCCGAAATGACGGGAATGCCGACGGGAGCTCCTCGCGTTTTCGCGAGCTGATATAAATGGAGATAGCGCGTTGTGTGCGCCGACGGCGGCGCGGCGGCGTGACGGATTGTCGCGGGGGGCGCGTCGCGTCGCGTCTCGCGGCAGTCGCGGCTTGGAAAGCGTGGGAAAGGCCACTGCCGGTAAAGCGGACAGACGCAGCGCATCTTGCCGCTTTAGATTAGACATGGTAAAACGGGCGGTGGAGCGATGTCGGCGCGTATACCGCGCGCGCCCGCCCGCCCGCTCGTCCGCCCGCCCCGCGTGTGGGTGGACGGGGAAATGAGAAAATATGAACCGCGCGCGCGTCCCCGTCATCGCGCGAGGCGAGGCGAGGCGAGGTGAGAGCCGGAGCGTATCCCGGAGCTTCCCCTTTTTTCCTTTTCAGACCTTTCCTTTTGAGAGGAGAACAGAGGGTCGACGGTAGCTTCGCCGCTGCGTGTGAAATGCGCGTTCAATTTGTAAGAGAAATGGTAGTTTCTCTCGCGCTGCCACCGCTCAGTCGGAAGTACTTACGGAAGTGTCATTATCACGTATTGTTTGATTAAACTTTTGCTTTTTCGCGCGAATATTTTATCTATTGACGAAAAACGAATTTCGAGAGGAGCTATAAAATTTACCCAAGTCGCGGGATGATGTAACTATTACGTTGCGCGCAGAATGTAGTACGATTATTGATACGGGGATTTTTTTTATGATTCACGTGTATTTTGCGAACTGCGACCGTTCTGAGAGGAGGAATTGTTATACGGCGAACACGAATGTGCGTAATAAAATGGTATTGTAGAATAATAGAAGAGGGATTCAATATATTTGGACCCAATCGATTGTACTTTTTCGCAGTTTGCATTTTGCCCGCATTTAATTCCTCGTCGATGTCGATGCAGATCCTGTGATTTTCACGTAAGCGTTTCGATCATCCGTTTGATCACGGCGCTTTACGATGTCCTCGAGGGATAAGTATAGTAATCGAGTGACCGTGTGCACGGTAAAAGGATAACGCTCCATATATATTTCGAATACGTGCTTTGCATCGAATTTGCTAATTAGCAAGCACTTTGCCAGCTCGCAGAGGACTTCGTCATCGCGTCGGTTGGTCGTGCGCGCGCTTTATTCGCGAAGTACTCTCTTCGTTGAAGAGTACATTTTGCCGTACAATGGCAGAGGGAATGTCTAAACTTCTACGAAAAAAAAAAAGAAAATGTCCCTCGGAACATGAATTTTCTTGCGCGCACGCGACATCTGCGAGATACATTCGCGTGAAATGTAATTTAACAAAGGAAAAGAATTGAGTAGTTGCTTTGCGAGACAAGCAACTACGAATCCTTTGACCAATTTTGCGTTGATTTTTTTTTTGACTATTTATTTTGACGCCACTCTCTTTTTCTTTTGTTAAAATTACATTGAAACAAAATTAAAATTGTAAAATATTTGAAATTAAAAGAGAAGGGGAAATTTTCGTTCTCTATTTGCCTTATCACATTTTTTTAACCCACCGTCAATTTTTTTTGTCAAAGAGAAACAAACTGCGCGAGATCCGTTGAAAAATCTGCGAGGTTGAAATATTACGTATTTTTCGACGAGTAATAACAGTATGTTCGCTGATGTTGAATGAAAAATTTAGAAAATAGCTTGAGGATCGCGCGGGGTGTACATTGTGTAAAGCACGAGCGATGAGCTTACAAAAAGACGTCGGTGGCAACGCTGTCTCGCGCGCTGTTACACGAGGGCGCATCGGATTTCTTGCCTATAGCGACGAGTTCGACGTAACGACGTAGCGGATGCAAAAGCGCGTCACGGAAATCGATGGACGCCAGTCCGAGAGCGCGTCGTTTTTCTCGGACGGCCCCGACAGATATTAATTCCCAGCAGCTGTCTTCTCCCCGGCACAACCCTGGGGCTCCCTTCCTTTCTAGAGAAACCACGGGACTCGCTCCGACCTGCTGTTAATTAATTTTGCAAGTCGCCGGACGCGGAAGGCTACCGGAGGCTCACGGAGTGTCAGCGGCCAATTTTCTCTCTTTCGACAGCACTCGTATTAGCCCCTGTTGACTGGGCTCGCCGCGCGAGAGAGTAAGGGCGCGTTGCCGATTATAAAGTCGCAACGTTGACAACGGATCCGTAATGGTAGAGGGCGATTGACGCGTTTTAATTTACTTCGATCAGCGCGGCTCGATAAAACCGTCAAGGCGTCACCCGTGTAAAATGGATGGCGGGCGCAAATACCGAAAAAAGAGAATGGACCGCGAGACGGGCGGAGGCCTGGGGGGGAAGAGAACTACGAATTGACAGCTACGATCAGTTCTCGCGGTCGACGATGACATACGACTCTCAAATGAGCTTTCCGTGACTTGCACATGAGGTTTCGTGAAGATTTACAAAGAATAATATTTTTAGATCTAAAGTTGTATTATTATAGATTTTAAATTGTATTTTGAAAGGCAAAACGAATATATGGCACGAGTATAATTGAGTGTCCGTATATATTTTAATATACGTATATTTTTATCCGTTATATATATTTTTTTCGCCAATATAAATTTCACACAATGCTCGTAAAGCGGGAAGTGATTATAATAAATGTGTAAAAGAGAGCAGAGTCGAGATTATAAAAACGTATGTTAGTCTAGAAGTTACGCTCGCTTGAAAGAGAAACGGTGTGAAATAAAGGTTCCGTCGACAAAGACAAAATATCGATTTATCAAAGTATGTCGAATACGGCGTTGTCGTCGTGCTTCTCCGACGCCGATGCAAACTTATTCAATTAAAGCCGATCGGAGTTAGCGCGCGAGGGAATCTCCGAGTCGCACCGGGAAGGCAATAACTCTATATCTATCGTCTTTTTCTTCTCTTCTTTCATCGATCTTTTGTTTTTGGCAATAACAACTAGGAAACGTACTTGGCTCTTTCCATGCTTCTTGTCTATTCCCTGACTTCCGAAGGCGTCTTTTCGGCGATCGCCCCTCCCCCCCACTCTACCCTTCTCAACACACCAATCTTTTTATCTCTAGCAAACTTTGTAGATCGACATCTGGATGTCTATTGTTACGACCGGACTTTTCCGATCTCGTGGAATTTTTATGACTTGTGAAAAGTTATGTCCGAAATTGCGATTGCTACAATTGACGGCAGATAATAGATCTCTTGAATTATTTGACATGCTTGCAACATTTTTCAATAATATAAAATATAATAATAGATACAGTAGTTTAAAAAATTATAATAATTATTATATATGCATAGAATAAAAAAAATTCTTGTCCCAATTATATTATAATGTTTTATTAATGATTTTTTAAAATTTAATTTTATAAACAGCGTTATAAATTTCTTGTTCTCAACATTAATTGTCAAGTTGGAAAAGAAAACAGGAATGGAACGTTCAAGCGAAGAAAGCACGTTATTTTTTTTCTTTTCATCAAATTCTGCAAATTTCGGTAATTATCTCCAAGTTCTCGCGAGCAGTGATATAAAACGATTGCTCCTCGAGATAACTTATCAGCGCTTCGAAACTAGAATTCAGCTTTACATTCACTGATACGAATCGGACGGTCCGATTTCTCGAGGACTTTCGAAAGCCATATTTTTGCTGCTTCTCTCGTCCTTCCCCGCCCGCGCCGTCGCGATTTAAGAAACAAACGAGTGCAAACGGCGAATGTTTGTTTACCTCTGATATACGCTTCTCGATAAAACAACTTTATGGAATAGAACCGACAACAACGAGTCTTCTCTTCCACCGCCCCTCGAATATTCTATGATTTTCAATTCTTCTTTTCACACGGGAGAGAGCACTTTCGTTTCAGCTGCAGGACGCCACACCCGTTTGCGAGACACCGTCATACGAGATCTTCGGGGAGGGGATTAAAGTGCTTCTTGTAATATCATGGATAATGTGTATATACTTGTCAGCCGGAAATTCTCGATCGCTCAACGGTGCTACGTAAAGTGAAAAATGGAAAATGTTTTAGAGTATTGCTGCTCTCGCTGTTCTAACATTTTAATATGAACAAACGGGAGCGCGCCAGAATATTGCAGATTTGAAGCCCCGTAACCCGACGTAACATCTTTTTTTTTTTCGACGAGAGAGAAGAAACTTATATAATTCGCACGCATTGAAAATTTATAAGGGATGGATTGGAAAGAGTTTTAGAGAGTATTCTGTATTTCTCAACCCTCATGATTCAATTTTAAGCGGATGGAGAAACCTCTTTCGTGAAAAATATAGACATATAAAAGATATCCAGCCTCTCAAATATTCACGCGCACGAAGCCTCCCCGAAGATCCGGTTAAACTTTCACGGTTTTCTATTCGCCATGAATTCATTCCATTCGCAGTGCGAACCGATAATATCCGTCGGACTAATACTCTGACATTCGCTCTGTGTGTAGAAACTCAGTTGTACCTAACAGGGGTATTGCGTCGGAGACCTGGGGCAGGGTCTCGGCGACGAGGTTCAGGAACACCGTCAGCGATAGCAAGATGGTCACTCCTGAAACAGTCGTAGCCCACCTGTGCTCAATGATCCGTTCTCGTTCGTCGCGTCCGTGCGCGGACGGGCGCGCGCGTCGACGAGCGCCTCCTCCTCGGGGAGGACGCGATCGTCGATCGACGGCCGCCCGTCCTTTTCTCCCTGTCGATCGTGTCGGCGATCGTCGACGAAGAGAAATCGACCGAGGCTGAACCGCGTCGAGCCGACAGTTTCCACTGGTGAGAGCGAGGATTTATCCTATGTAAACGCGATTCGAGCGCGATGGAAATCGTGCGCGGGCACGAGGGAGAGAGAAAGAGAGAGAGAGAGAGAGAGAGAGAGAAAAAAGGAGGATATTTTCGACCTGTAGCAGTCGATTGTAAGCCGGGGAAAGTTTCGCAACTGCGCCTCGCCTCGGTGGAATTGTCGACGGAAATCTCGCGGGAGCAGTACCTCCTTGCCGTTTTATCGGCGATGTTTTCTCGATAATCTCGGAACAAACCGACCACTCTGCCGTCCCGAAGGGTTCAGCTCCGTCCGAAATTCGTTCCGTCTCGCTTTGCTCGACCTCGAATTCGGGTCGGGGATCGAGCAGCTATGGGTATCTCGTTAAAGATAAACAGTTCACGGTGTGTACTTACAAGCTTACATGCAAATTCGCGTATATATACGCATAGGAGGAACGAATTGCAATGATGTAGCATTTAAATGCTAATTGGTTGTTTTCGAGCCAGCTCGAGAATACACGACGCATTTTCAGTTGCATCAAGTAATTAATCCTCTAATTAGTTTATATCTTTTAAAATTATGACTTTAGATGTAATAAGGAGAGAGATAAATTAATTAAAATTACACATATGGAATTAATCAAATAACGTATTAAATAGAATAAATACGCCGTTATTAAAAATAGCGGTATTTACACGAAGCCATGAAGAACGTTGTTAAAAAATTAATTCTTCACAATGTAGATTTTTTCAAGTTTTGCGCATTGTCGTTAAAAATGTTTCGTTTTAACAGACTATTGATAAATTTGTGAGATAAAATAAACTTGAATCCTAATTTTTTAAAAGGATTAAATATAGCTTCAGTTCGGTAACAAACTTTATCTCTGGTTGTTTGGTTTTTTTACAATCTTGTTTTCGCAAAAAATGCAGCAAACATTGTTTTCCTTTCAGTTGGCTTGATGGCATGGCAAAATTGCGAGTTACACGAATCATAGCGCGGACGGAGAGAATGATAGCATTCAATCAATTTTTATTTATCGATCAAAACGCAGGACTGGAACGGCGGACACTTCCGCTTCGAGGACGATCCGCGCGCGAGTGCGACCGGTAGGGGAGGATGGAATTTCGATTTAGCGAACTCCGACGCGCTTGTATCCACGAACTCACGTGCCTCGGACGGCTTCGCCGCATCCAGCCAACATCGGAGGGCTGGAAACGGTCACCCCCCTGGAAAATTGTTCTCCATTGTACGGGAATGCGCGAACGCGCCGTCCGATGTTCAACCCCTTCTCAAACGAGTTGCGACAACGCAACTAGTTCTTTGAGTTTCAACTGTCGCGCGACTGTGAAATCCAACTGTGAAATCCGCTGCGGAACTTGCAGGGCGGTGCATAGGTCGCGACTTGCTTCGACTTTTTTATTGTTTCAACTTGTATCAGGGGGATTTTTCGCGAGAGTTAAAGCGCGATAAAAATGGGAAATATAATTCTGCAGAAAATTTAAATCAAATATTGCAGAAGGAAAATTTATGAAAACATTTTAAAGAATATGATATTGAAGAAATCAGTGACTCAACGATACAGCACGAATAGCTGTGAGAACTGAAATATTTCAGATCGTAAAGCGACAGAGATATATTCGTATAATAATTTCGAAGACGAGGAAAGCCACACAGTATGTTTACATAAAACAGAGGCCACTTGGGGAAAACGGGGAAGTTATTCATTGGCACTGACGTCGAGTTAAAAGGAAAACGCTCGGGAAAATATTCATTCGATAGTACTATGATGGACCGGAGTACCCCCTTGGATAGTGAGTTGGAATGCATTTTTCCTAAACTCGTAAACACGCCAGAAGCGCGTTAAAGCGTACACGCGCGTGGAAATGGAAGCGAAATATTTTTGGTTATATTTTCGAGTGATTTTTCATGGTTGGGGAATATTGTACAAATCTCAAGTGGCGATCGTTGCCTGTGTTGGTGCGGAAACTTATTCGTACACGAGAATTTCGACAACACGAGAACATCGTATTCTCCGTAATACATATATACAGCAGTTTTTGCAGACATGTACATATTCTATTAAATAAAGCTTTAACTTTTCTCAGGGGCAGTTTTACGGTATAATGTAGCAAGTGAAATTTATATCTTTATAAGGGGGGAGAATTTGAAAATTGTCTCGAAAAGAAAAAGGAACCCGTCATCGACGAAATAATGTGGGAGGGATCGTTACAAGATGATACAATCTTGGGAATCTATTGCGAAAAGTTAATTAAAACTCCCAGGTCATTAAAATTTTGTAGTAAGATTCATATTCCCCTTTTTTCTGAAAAACGATTGTCGTTACTGGTTCACAGTAAGTTATTGAGTCACATGTTACGTTTATTTCTTTCCTTTTTGGTCGCGATATCGTCATTAATTTCTTTGCGTTTCACGCGAGAAAAGTTTTCGCCGAAGTACAAATTGTTCGGCGACGATGTCGCGACATCGATGCGAAATTATTATAAGTCGAAGCACTATGAATTTACTTTGAGAGGCAATTTCTCAGGTCGGGGCGAGACTTGAGCGTGGCAGAAAATGAAAACGGAAAAGGCGGAAGAAAAACGTGAAGCCGTTTCAGCGCTTCCTCTCCGCCCTCGCCGCCTCCGCCTTCGCTACGCTCTTGGAAAGAGGAATAAATTTGGTACCATTCTTTCCCTTTCTTCCTTCTAATAAGATCGCATTTACTCAAACCTCTTTTTTCTCCGTTCTCAAACGTCACGAAACTTTTCGTCATAATGTCGCTTGGTATCGCCGGACGCGACGGCATTATTATAACTCGGCAGGCCATGAATTTATTATGAGAGAGAGAGAGAGATAATATCACCGCGTGGTAGACGCACGAAACTTTGACATCAAGAGGAGAACGAAGACCGAGAACGAAAGAGCGGGGCTGAAGAGGGGGAATGAAGTGTCGCTCGATGCCCGACGAAAAATTTCGCCAGTGGCCGATTTTCTTCTGACTCTTTTGGAATATGGGTGACTCGAATACGACAGAAGCAGGGAGGACTCGGGATGACGGTTATCGCCCAACTTCTGCTGAAGTTTCGTAGTGAGAGGGAAGAGAAAGAGAGAGCAAAGAAGTAAAAGCAAAGATGGAAAGGCAGCCGGGCGCATACCGCGGAGTGAAAAAAGTTCCCACGTCCGAGACTCAGGACGCCTGGTGACATATGGGGAGTAACTCGGATAGCGATGTCTATCGATAACAACTGTCGAATAATTCGAAGTTACGCAAAGAATAACGTAAAGATACAATTGCTCCTGTTCCTCTCTAAAATATTAAAATTGAATTGAGACCGTAGCTGTAGGCCACGAAAGTTTTAATGATGCACACAAGAGTCGGTAAAAATTTACATTTATTTTATACAAGCCAGATAATTTTATTAAATTATCATATCGAGGTAGCGTAAACACACAAAAAATATTCTTTTATCGCATTTTCAATATATTAATAACAATTTTATTTTACCACGCAATAAAAGCAACCACATATATGTTTCAATATATCAATATTTTAATATTTTAATACTATTTTAATATTTAATATTTTCAGACTGCGTGGCAAATATCACTCGATGATTTAATTCTTTTATCCGTTAATCGATGAGACTAATAATGCACGATAAAATTAGCGAGAATGGAGTTTTAAATTCGAGAGGGGCAGGATATTATTGTGGAATTCGATAAAACATACCATACGTAGGCGGCAGGAATGTGCAACAACGAGTGTTATTGATACTAATTGATCGATTAATTAGTTTGTGCACGAGCAAGAGCGGTCATAATTAATGCAATCAGAAATCCACGAGCGTTATAATCTATCAAGTGTCTATTAGCTCCGTATGCGAATCTATTCAGCGTCGCTTCATAGAGAGATTAGAATAGCGCGGCGATTATCGATACGGAGGGGCGAAATAACTGCGCGTGGGCAATTAAAAATCACGTGCACTGTGATATACATCGCTCACGCGGTAATTGCCAAATCGACGTGCGAGCGACGCCATTTCCTTTTTGCGCGGAAACACGACATCATTGTTCTGATACCAATCTCGATCGAAATCGGCAGCGATAAATCCGCTAAACTAGTCACCAGACATCCCATTTTCATCGGGACTTCCAAGCTCTCTCTTTCAAGGCAAAAGTTCGGCGCCAATATTTTCTCTTTTTTTTTTAATCAGAACGTCTTCTTTCTTCTTCAATGTTCAATAAAAATAATTTTGAGTTGAAATATCGACACATTCGATGTAGTTTGCAAATAAATTAATTTCCTGTGTTATCTACGAATCTACGTTCTATTGAATTCTAAGAAAATGTGTAGAAATTTATTCCCAAAGCAATATTACGAGAAACGTGTTCTCTATTAAACACGTCGCGATCCTGCGCTAAACTCTTACCACCGCTTGCCGGAAATCCATCGGGCGTAGCTAAATCGACCTATCGACACCGTCACATTAATCAAGGCATTAAATCTTGGTTATACGCCGCGTCTGCGAGACGTTGTAAAATCGCATATCTCCTCTGCTACTGATTGGTTTCCCAGCGTCGTTAGGCTTCGCCAGAGTGCTCGTAAATGATTAAACTACGAGACTCTACATTATTCCGGCGATTAACGAACCAGCCGCTGCCAATTAGGACTGATCGTTCGATGGTGCATTACAGAATCGCGCGCGCTAGGTTTAACGCCTCCCGTTAAAACAAACGGGACTAGACGGCGAGGATCCATTATTCCGGGGTCGAACGAGGCGTGCCGAAAATCC